CCTGCTGAATAAAGGATGAATTTTGGTGAAGCAATGTCTGTTTTGAGCCTCAATTTATGGCTTTCTGACCCTTCTGAGATAACCAACAGGGCTTATTCACCTCTGATGTAATATCTTCTCTGGCGATTGGTGCACAAAGGAAACATACTGATTGTGCACTTTTGGAGGCACGAATTATCAAAGTTCTTAGAGAGCTGACGTGAAGCACAGAAAGCAACATTTTTCAGTTCTGGCATTTCGGGAAGATGCTTAATACATGAGTCTGGCATTATGAAGGCTCTGCTATTAGAATTTTTATGCCCTTTGCCAGACTTGGAATCTCCGGTCATGAGTGCAGCTGCAGTTACTGGTATCCCAGCAGGCAAGCAGACATTTCTGTCTCAGCAGTAATATATTACATCTGGAGGATTCGTAGGCTTGGGAGGGGAGGATTTGTTTGTTTGGGTATTTTTTAAGTCAGGCAAATAGCACATTAATATCATTTTTCTAATCCCTTCTAATGTCTGTTTCCATTTACCTGGCATAAACTTGCTCTTTTAGGTTTTGCACTTTGCAGTGATGTGTCGCCATGCCTGGACACAAGCACCATCGCTGGTCCAGAGCTGCTTTGACTGCCATTCCATGCCCTCAACACTGTTAATAAGTCAATTAACAAACAGAGGGAGCCACAAAATCATTCATGTCATTACTGCCATTGCATGTTCTTCAAAATGTATTTCATGGATACGATCCTTATGAAGTGGAGGTTGACAAGAAAAGCCTAGGTGTTGTAGTGCATGGCTTGATGCAGCCTTACTGCTATAAACAGGTTCAAAATCTGTTCTGATGCAAAAGTGCGTTTGTACCTTGCGAAGCGTATCTTTGCTCCAGGAGAAATTTGACATTAGTTAACAACTTTTGCAGGTCATTGGCAGAACTGTGTGGAGAAGCTAACTTACTGCTTGTCAACCTTTTATATGCCCAGGCAATATTAAGAATTTAATTTTTAATAGGTTTTACAATACACTTTTCATTTTGAATACATTTTCTAACAACATAACTTGCCTGTTTAGCCACTACGCACTATAGATATGAAACTGTTGCATTTAGAAAAGTTATATACTTTTAATTAGACCTTGTTTATTCTCCCTTTAAGAACAAAAAAACCCAAAGTGATGTTGAGTTCTTAAAACATGTACTTAACTCCAGTTTCCCTGTATAGAAAACTTGCACAAAATGTTATTCTCTATATTTCCTGCTTATTAAATGTCATTTACCATAACTTACAGTGTAAATGAAACTGAACCTTCTTTTGAAGCATCCAGAAGGTATTATTTCTGTTTTTAGTGTATCATGATACACTCATTCATTTCTTCAGAATTTCCTCAAACCTTCATCTTTGTACTTTTTAGCCATCTCTGCATTTTCTTACCATGTCGTTAATCATTTACCATAGGATTAACTGACAGATTGTGTTAAATCCAGTGGATCCCAATCTTCTCCAGCCATTGTACCACTACCTCAGTCTTACCTGAACGATGTTCAGTGCTCCCAGCTCCCAGCTCCCAGCTCCCAGCTCCCACTAAACTGGGAGTTTAGTGTGCTCCCTATCTTGCACGACAGGGCCTCTAGATGCAAGACGTCATTACGTATACTCTCCCATGTGTTTGCTTGTTTTCTGATCAGCACTGGGTTTTGTGTTGCTTGTAACCCAGCTCGACGGCTGTGTGATGGAGCAGGGTACATAGCATGCGAAGGGAACCAGCTGTGCTCCAGCTGAAGTCAAGCTCCACCCCTGGCTTCCATGAAAGGGCCTGCAGGTTTAAAAGAAGGACAAGCTAAACTAAAAACACGTCATAAACGATAGAGAAGTAGTGGCACACATAGCTGTGGTTGGGAGCCACACCATGATTTGCTACCTGATAATCCTGAGGACATATTTCATACTAGTGCATACTGAACTGCTAAAACTCCTAAAATTTTTTTGGATACTACTGACTGCTTCTAACCAGCTTTTTCCATACCCTAGCACCCTCTCTCTCAATAGCAAATCCTAGATGCTTACATACAAAGCTATATCAAACATTTGGTTTGAAGCAATAACATCAAAGAGACTGAGAAGGAAGATAAGTGTTCAGGTCCACAAGCCAGTACCAGTTCACACCTCCTTCCTCACAGATCTTGGGCATCTCAGAAAAATGTCTGAAATTACATGACCTTTTTTGCCATACATAAGCAAAACAGCCAGAAGTAACGAACATTCATACCCCTATTGTACACATTTCATTAGGTATTTAGGCACATTTAAAGTACATCTAATAAGTACTTGGGAGACTGTAGTGATTCCTTCCCAATCTGTATTGAACTCTTTTCCAATATCATGTCAGTCCACTGAGGATCTAATAGAACAAAAGGAAAAAACATTCGCTGAGAAAAAAAGTGTTTCATGTGCATGGCCACATAAAATAACCTAAAACTTCACAAAGCAGCAAGTCAAGTGTCCTGATGCCATTTGAACAGTGTCTTTTCACTGCCTGTTTTGAAATTAGAGAAAAAAAATACCAAATAACTATTCTTGTGAGAATTTAATAATTTTGATTATTTATAATTTGCCTTTGGATTGAAATTGCAGTTACTAAATTGAGGTAGGTACCAATGATTTATAGTAGAATAGAATACAACCTAGAGTGTAGATTTAGCCATCAGGGGAGAGAGTGGGTGCTGTTCTAACAAAAGCATCTAATTTAAAATTCTTCCCTTCACGTTTGTAACAGTTGCTTTGCCTATGTGTTTCCCTGTATTTTTATGAATGCACCGTCATAAAATTAATTTTAAAAAAACTGATTTTCAGACATTTCATAATGTGAGTGCTTTGTTTTTTACTAATGCTCTTTATCTGTCTACAGTAGGAACAGATACTCGGTAGCTTACGCAGCTCAGAAGCCGTGGCTGCTGAATGCAACCGTGGAGGAGAACATTATCTTTGGGAGCCCATTTAATAAACAGAGGTAAATAATTGTTTTCTGATCAAACAATTGATTTTGCCTTGCAAAAACACCTGGCAGCTTCTTTTAAAGAGGTTTTTGGCTTCTCCTTCTGGAGGAAGTTTGTAGATTCTGAAAAATATCAATGCACATTAACCCTGGGGTGGATTTAGCTAACCTGACTTCAGTCATCTCAAAGGAAGGTTTCTGTTTTAAATTAGTCTTTCAAGGCTCCCCCTCTAACCAGAGTGCATGTCTAAGAAGTTTGTGAGAAATCACACAGCAACAGTGGTCTCCATTGAATACAGCGGAAACCATATGTGTATTTTTCAAGCAGCTAAAGTTAGGTGAGATGAATCCCATCTTTGGAGACTACTGTCATGTTTTTGTTTTGTTTAATGGAGCCGGAGGTTGCCAGAGGACTCTGGAAAAAGGGATACTAGGCATGTTTCCACCGAGTTTATGTGCTAATCCTGCTGTGATCAAGTTACTGGAGCAGCCACTTTACAAAAACACTGCACCTATGAAGATGGGGTGCCTCAACAAAATAACCTGAATTCTTCCTTTAGAAATACAGGAGAAGGGAGTGTGAAAGCTGAGTTGCACAGCTTCGGTTGTGCCTATCCAGCACTTGTTTCATGTGTCCTTCTGAAAGGTCAGCTAACAAATGCAGTGGAAAAAGTGACTTGACTTAAGGAAAACAAATTGCTGATGTTTTCAAAGGCAACACTCTTTTTGTTTTAGGTTATTAAAAATACATCCCATTCCTCTCAGTGTCTGCTTTGTTAAGATGTATGACTCCATCCCCACTTAATAAAACTTCACCATGACCAAATATCTCAAAATCCAGATAAACATCTAAAATTTCAGGGACCAGATTCTTCAGCTACTGCATCCATCAGCCTAACTTCACTCATATCAAAAGAGCAAGGCTTATACCACTCAAATAGTCTGATCCCAGCTGCTTATTAGCAGATCATCTCCGATACCCCACAGACCTAGAAATCTCACAACAAATTTCAAGTTTTTGCAAGTGTTTTCCTGATTCTGGCAAGATCAGAAACACTGTAAGGATCTTTTGTCCTGTAATATCACAATGAAGTAAATGAAGAGGCACCTATAGGGGGAAGAATAATAACTCATCGGGAAATGGCTTCAAATACTCCAGAGTCCAGCAAAACAGCTCCGTGATAGGGAGGAACATACTCAATAATTTACGTAATTGAATCTTTACAAAGTAGGCTTGCCAATAAAGATCTGTAATAAATAAGTCATTTTTTTACAATGCTTAGTTTACAACGCTCCATGATTACTTGCTGAATAATCTTTTTGCCCTACTTATTTCTGCAATAATCCAGCCATCATAGAGCCATAATAACTTAGCAGTGAATTTGAGCTGGAGGATTTTGTGTTAGCAAAGTAAGTGTCTGGTTAAATAATTGCAATGACCGTATCGTTTTTACAGGTACAAAGCTGTTACAGATGCGTGCTCTCTGCAGCCTGACATTGACTTACTACCATTTGGTGATCAGACAGAAATTGGAGAAAGGGTAAATAATATGAATGCTTTTATGTCTGCTTAGCCTATGTATTAAGAAGGCACTCTCTGATGTTACTCAGACAGATCTAGTCTATATTGGGCTGCCAGCCTGCTACATAATAGTAATTCACATGGGGTTACTGCAAAAAATTTTTTTTCCTTCTTCAGCTGTTTCTCAGATGGGATTTTTTGATCAAAGTCTCCTATATTTTGCTTGCAGAATTTGATGCTAGTATTGGATGCATTTTTCAATCTAAGCAGCGTACTGTGCTTAGAGCAGCTCTTCATAATTTACACTTACCCATGATTAGTTGCTGAATAATCATTTTTCTTCTGATAGTATTTGAGGATTATGCTTGTTTATCAACAGGATTAGTATTTTAACGAAGCTTTTTATTTTTGTTGGAACTCTGTGTAATTGTAAAAAATCACATTTCCAAAGTCCTATCATAATGTTTATTCAAAGATGCATATTTCTGGTCCATTATACTCATTAGGGGATTAATTTAAGTGGCGGACAACGACAGAGAATCTGTGTAGCTCGAGCACTCTATCAGAACACCAACATTGTCTTCTTGGTAAGAATTTTTTTTTTTCACATGGAGCATGGAAAGTTAGTAATAAAACTGTCATTCCTTATATTTAGTTTTAGAAAAATTTATGTTAGTTTTAGAAAACAGTAGGGACATGTATTCAACTCCAAATCCAAATTATAGAGATAGGAAATAAACATCCACCAGAGGCAGCATCAAAACATACTGGGAGACTGATGAAGGTGGGATTTCCTACAGAGATTAACACTGGAAGAGTAGAACAGATTGTTTAACTTCTGCTCACTCTCAGTAGTGACCTAGTATCAACATAGTCCCACTGAAATCAGCAGGATTTCTGACAAGGAAAAGCACCATAATGCAACTACTTGTGAGCAATGAACAGACTGAGAGTTCAGCACTCTCCTACAGAGTGCTGTGGATTTGGACAAACTCCCTTCTCTGTTACTAATTTCAAGGCATATCAGAAATTTCAGGAGGCTACTGCTCCTGAAGGGGCTGTTTGAGCCTCTTCAAAATTAACTAGGGACTTCTGTTCTTAGAGAAAAAATGTTTGCATATTAATATCCTTATCTGAATGTTGTCTTGTTGCTAGCCATGCTCACCCAAATTGAAGACCAAGCACATCTGCAGTTTAGTTTGGAGGAAATTAGAACAGTTTCTAACTCTACTTTATATTTCCTGTGCCAGTTTCCCATCAAAATTAGGTCCAAGCTTGGCTCTGGATCCTGGCATTTTCAAATTTGGATGGGAAATTTCAGTTCTGGTGTTCCTGATGAGGATTACTCCACACTGTCAGTGTGGCACCAGCACTGCACACATCTAGACACAAAAGAAATAACTGAGTCCATTGCTATGAATTGAAGAGCAATGTATTCTAGCTCACTGTTTCATAGTGCAGCCCTCTGACTAGGTCTTAGTCATTAGAGAGAGATGAAACATTAGTAATGGCAGATGCTTTCTATTTTTTAAAAACTCTTGAAAGAAATACAACTAATTTTTGTATCCTGTTCTAATATTTTTAAATTTGATTTGATTGCAGGATGACCCATTCTCTGCACTGGACATTCACTTAAGTGATCATTTAATGCAGGAAGGGATTTTGAAATTTCTGCAAGAAGACAAGAGGACTCTTGTTCTGGTGACACATAAGTTACAATACCTACCACATGCTGACTGGGTAAGAGAAGAGATGCCATGATGCAGATTTGATGATGAACATACACTTGAAGTTAGCACCATAATGCTTGATGAGATCACTACTTTTCTCTGTAACAGAGTCCCTCCTTCTTAATTCCATGTCATGTGGCTAACTGCCACTTTATATAATACAGCTTTTATAGTAGAAGGAGCAATTGTATTTTTACATTATTTGTGTAGGTTTTTTTCGATTGAAAGCCATCGGATAATTATGACTTAATTGCAACTATGAATATTACTTATTATGTCTTGTCCATGATTTTTACAAGTACATGTAAGCATGGCTTATAGGAGTTTGAGTTTATGAGCTGTGTCAACAAATTAAGAAGTTATTAATAAAATATTGAATAAAATGAACACAAGACTTTGCATAATGGTAATCTCACCAATACTGAGACATGCCTTGTAGGATCCAGGTCAGTGATTATGGTATCTATGTTGCTGAGTAGGCCTATTGTATGCTTTCTCCCCTAGATCATAGCAATGAAGGATGGAATGGTGCTTAGAGAAGGGACACTAAAGGATATCCAAAACAAGGATATTGAGCTGTATGAACACTGGAAAACTTTGATGAATCGCCAAGATCAAGAATTGGAAAAGGTAAACAGGAGCATTTGGGCAAGGATGACCTTTCTGAAAAGAAATATTTTTCAGTTAATTTCTAAAAAAAACCAAACCATGTCAGAAAGCAAGTTTTAAACTAGACATTAGGGAAAAAAAGCATGAACTGTAAGGAACTTTAAGGACTGGAATAGATTGTCTAGGAAATGTGTGGTTTACCCATCATAGGTGGTTTGTAAGGATACATTAGGCAAACATCCTTTTGAAATGTGGTGCACAACTCATCCTTTGCTGAGGCAAGGGGCAGACTAAGACACTTCCTAAAGTATCTCTCAGCTTTTTATTCTGTTATTGCTGTGAGCGTTTAGGATTCTCTAAAGACTATTTTTGAAGTTTTTATCACTCCAGAAGAGAGGGAATGAAAGAATGGAAGAAAGAGGGAGAGAAGAAAGTGGACAAGGTGGGATTTTCCGAAAGATAAATCCTAAAATACTATGCTTTTGCATTCTGTGAGCTAAATCATTCAAATAGTCTCTTTGAGGTTACTGTTGGTCCCATCACAATGGCAGACAGCTAAGCTCTCAAATTAATAAATAAGTTTTCTTATTACAGGATATGGAAGCTGACCAGACTACTCTTGAGAGAAAAACTCTTAGAAGGGCCATGTACCCCAGAGAATCCAAATCACAACTGGAAGATGAAGATGAAGGTATGTTTTATCATTTCTCTTTGTTTATTCCATTGCCATGTATCATTGTCTTTCCACTTGAACAGCTGGCAGTTCTTAGCAATGAAGTATGAAGATGTTGATGACACTTGGTAATAACAGTGGGAAGTCCAATACTTCTACCTGTTTAGAATATGGCTTGTTTAAGGGATTCTCCATAGATTTCTCTAAACATTGTGCAAGAATAAGGTGTACCAAAACAAGTTAATTTCTTTGCTAACTCATATTGCCTGGAGGTAGTGAGGGGTAAGATAGAAGTAAAACAACGATAAGAATTGTTATTAATGCAAATTGAGGTAGCTCTGCCTAGTCATTGGCACAATAATGTTAGATCATCTGTAGCCCTGTCCCTCGTGAAATATCTGTTCTGGGATCTTGATATATCACCACATGATCAAACTTGTAGCTATTTTCAATTCCTTTTTGGATATCGAGTTCATGTGCTATTTTTGTAGCTGAGAGTATTTATGGAAGAAGTTTTAGGCTTTGTTCTCAAGATTAGCTTCTTGTTCCCCTCCAAGTCTTGGTGGTTTTAGAGGCTGCAGATTCAGATTCACGTCACTTTTAAAGTGGGGTGCGGGGTGGAGGGGACACACGGTTCGATATTGGCAGCTGGCAACAAGACCCATCAAGAACATCCCTGGGATGCTAGACCATGCCTAAACGCAGTAGTCAGTCTTGGCAAGCAGTACATTTGTGCCAGGGAAGAGAAGAGGTGAACTGTAGGCTTCACCTTAACTCAACAGGAGCACTAATTGCAGGGATTATCATAGTGATGTTGACTGGAGCAATCACAAAATGCACACTGGCTGTTAGCAGGCTCTTTACTGCTGCCTTGTGTTTCATCTGGCAGTGCTCATGATGGATTGTCATCTTAAGTCATAGGTCTGTAGGTCCTGGATTGCTTCATTTTGAAGAGATTTCCAATCATTGCACAACAGGCAGAGCTGGACCCCAAAGACCCTGAGACGGAAATATTATGTTGGCTTCATATTTCTTTGGCAGAGCTGAGCAGAACACCTCTTACTATGTTCAGTCATCAGTCCACTTTATCAGTTAAATTCTTGGAGGAGTTTAAATTGAGGTAATTCCCAAGCTCCTCTTTTTGGTCTGTGCAAGAAAGCCTTGCCAAAAACCTGTATCTTCTTTGTGAGGTGAGATAGAAAACACAGGGAAAAAAAGACCTGTCCATATAGTCCACAGAGTGCCTGCAAAAAAGCATCATTAGGATCATAAACCACATATCAGTAACTTCAGGGCAGAAATATAACCTGACATTGCATTCCAGGTCATCCACACTTATTATGTGAACTAGGGAACATACACAAAGTCTCTGTGTCCCAAAAAGTGTAGAATTTCAACTTTCAAGAAATCACTTACTAATTCATTTCTAATGTTCAAAATCAGAAATGGGTGGAAATGCTGTCAGTTCAAGGCTGTGAAGAGCAGGTCAACATTTTTCTTCCCCAAGTGCAGCCTGCAAGGCTGCCATGTATATTTTTATTACTTGGGAAAAAAATGATTTTTAAGTGTAATATTTATGCATCTATGAAATATATATTTCCCATAGCAGAAGTCTTCCACCAACTGTATTTCAGTATAATGTGAACAATTATCGTATAGTCAAAGGTAGGACTAGAAGAAATGTTAATCCCACAGCTGTGCCCTTTTATATAGACAAAACTTTAGTACTCAGGAATAAAGTAAAAATGGAGTTCTTTCATGCAACAGATGACAGAACATCTGGATGGAAGGCTTTGGAGAGCTTTCTAGAATCTTCCGTGAGACACAAAGTGCTCTGCTGACTGTATAATAAAAGCAACTGAACAGGTTGGGAAAGGCATAGTCTCTACTATCAATAGTCAGTACTGAAGACCTGACTTACAAAAATATTTATTACCAAAACTGTAACTAGTCAAAGACTGACGGTCTATGGAGCTGCTCAAAGAGCACAGGGGAAGTCTTTTGAAAATATGTCTGAAGTGTTTGCTGATATTAAATGACAAGTTTAATTTTGCCATTAAAATTAAAATTCAAAACAAAAAAGTTAATCAAATCCAGTAAAACCAGGTATAATTCTTAGTACTGAATCCAAACTAACTTGATCAAATGTCTGAGTCACAGAGGAAGAAGAGGAAGAAGATGAAGATGATAATATGTCGACTGTCTTGAGGCTCAGAACAAAGATGCCATGGAGAACCTGCTGGAGATATCTAACCTCTGGAGGATTTTTCTTGCTCTTTCTGATGATTTTCTCAAAGTTGTTGAAACACTCAGTTATAGTGGCCATAGACTATTGGCTTGCTACGTGGACATCCATGGACAATGCAAACGAATTCAGGAACATTGATGATGTTAAGAGCACAAATAAGGTGGGCCACATCTTGGAGCTTGACAGAGAAAAAAAAAAAAAAAGAAAAAATGTGCTAAAGTAATTATTTGCTGCTCATCTAGAAGCCAGCTAGATTGGAAAGACAGATATATATATATATAGTAAGGATGATTATTATATAGGATGGATGAATTGTTTATGATAAAACATAAGACAATTCAAATTTTATCTATCTTTTCAAACAGGAAACAGAAGCATGTTTGTGATTAGAAAAATGATTGACTTTTCAAAGGAAGGAATCTCATACTAAGCTTTTCAATCTGTTTTTTTTAACACCTAAGTCAATGACCCCATTTTCCTAAGTACTGACTGTCCAGTAATGTCCTGCCAGAAAAAAAAAGTCTTCAAATGTGCTACTTAGATACAGTCTGCTTACAGCCATAAATTTGACTCATATACAAATATCTCCTTGGAATCCACACAGTAAACTTTCAGAAGGCTTAAATGTGTTATAGGCCTGGCAGATTAGTTTAGGATTTGCTCTGGGAATTTTAGTGGTACTTGAACTTAATGAAGTGCAACTTTCCAACATCTCTCAAATGCTTTAATTCTTCAGAGGTTCTGCTTTTGTTGTCTGAGTTTCTTGGCTAACAATTTGAGTACTTTTGTGTTTGTCCAGTTAGTCTGTCTTCATAGTTCTAAGTACTATCACTTCAGGGTCTTGAAGGGTACTCAACAGTAGGTTGAGGGATCTTAGAACTGCCAGATCTTCTAATTATGTGAACTTCATGAACTGCAGTTCCATCATAGTTCTTTTATTTCCTAAAGATTATATTAATATAATTATGTAATATAAGTGATGTGACATATTAGCTGTTTGGTACCAGGCGCCTTGGGAACTTCCTAGTAGAAAAGAGAAATGTGCGTTTATTTCTAGGATTGATGTATTTGTCATTTTATTAGACTTATCATGTAGCTGTCTTCAGCATCCTCTCTGGAGCAGGGATTGTCCTTTGCCTCATCACATCTCTGACTGTGGAGTGGATGGGCCTCACAGCAGCCAAGAACCTACACCATAATCTTCTCAACAAGATCATCCTTGGACCAATTAGGTACAGCAAAACTAATGTTCTTCCTGAAAACCTACATGGCCAAAACCTGTCCAGATTTTGTAACTAGGAGGATACTCCTGTGAAAATCTCTTGCAATTGCCCTGATTTCTTCAAGGCCTCAAAAAGTGAAAATAACTAGTGAAAGTGAGCAGGGGGGGAAAATTCCATGTCAGAACATGTGACATTCTGCCCTCTTTTTTATCTGGCTGAAATGTGTCGGATAGCTGGCACCCCCTTCAAGGCTGGAGTGTCAAGGAAAGCTTTGAGTGCAGTTCTAGCTCCAGGGCACCCAGCTCCAACCCTGAGCAATGGGCATGGGGTCAAGCAATGTGGACACCAAGTTTCTTCTGATGGCCAGGGACAGGTTCTGTGCACGATAACCACAGTCTCTCACAGGCAGCAGGATGGCAAAAAGGATGCCTGCATAATGAATACAGTTATCACGGTTCTTCTATGAAACAACTGAGTCCTGGTGCCCAGTACTATGCAGGAGGTTGAGTAGCAGTCAGGGACAGGCTGTGATCTTTGGAAGGGATCTTAGATCTTGAGGGAGCGTGGATGAAAGAGCAGGGGGCAAGACAGTAGATTTTTGGAAGAGGAGACTTAAAAGTTTGGGGTGGCGGGGGGAATCCCAAGAGAAGCATTTGGATAGTCAGGACGCAGACATTATGATGTGTTATGTTATTCATATTTACTGCTTGGTTTTAGAAAATGTCTGGACACAGCTCTGTGTTCTGTCTGACCGGGCTTTTTATCCAAAACTGGAATTCCTTTTCATGTAACTTTTTTTTGTTTTTAATTTGTTCAACAGGTTTTTTGATATGACTCCATTGGGGCTAATTCTTAATCGCTTCTCTGCTGATACAAATATCATTGATCAGGTAGACGTATCAATATATTCTGTTTTATTACATCTTGGCTTTGTAAATTTTCAGTTAGCTACTGAATAAGATGATGTATTAAAATATTCAGTATAGAAAGGCATAGCAAAAACAGGCTCTGGGAATGATAATAGACAAATTCAAAATAGAAAGTACACACACATTTGTAGTAATGAGGGCAGGTAACATTAGAATCAACATGGTGGGAAATGGTGGCTCTTAATGTCTTCATATGCAGACTGGTTGCTTCTGTTGGAAGATCTGGATTAGCAAAACATCAGATTTTGAACTCAAAACAGGAAATGGTAGAATATAATAACTTTAACTATGTGGGAGTACACGTAACAAATAGATGTTCCATCCTCGCTGTAGCACGTGAATTTAGAGCATTCAGGGAGAGGAAGGGATGCTTTCACTATGGCTGTGAATTAAAATGTTTGGGTGAGTAATAATCCTGATTGTAAGGGTGATGGAAACATGGAAGGAAAATTAAGGGGCTCTGAGAAAGAGCATGCTGTTTCTCTAAATATTTGGGACATCAAGAACAATTTTCTCTTTCTTGCCTGTTATATAAACAAAGTGGAAATGGCTTCTTTGAAACACTGATCTTTAGGAAAAACCCTACTGACTCATTTTTTAACCTCTGCACATTTGAGTAGTAGACCCACAGAAACATAAAGGCTCCTGACATAGGGAGAATATCAATGAGTGCACAGTGGTATCATTCCACTTTCCCTATGGTCCTCTATAGGAAAAGGCATATCATGGTACTACCGGTGACTTTTGCCTTATGTTTGTTTTTTGTTTTGTTCTAGCACATTCCTCCTACCCTGGAGTCTCTAACCCGGTCCACCTTACTCTGCCTGTCAGCCATCGGAATGATCTCCTATGCCACTCCATGGTTCCTTGTCGCCCTGGTGCCTCTTGGGATAGCGTTTTATTTCATCCAGAAATACTTCAGAGTTGCTTCCAAGTATGTATTAAAAAACTGTACTGAAAATTTCTTTTAAAAAATTTGTACATAAGAATTGTGATGGAATGTGATGTTACAGGAGCTAGTATAGGGGGTTAGTATAGAGCTATAGTATAGAAAATGGCCACAGCATCCTGCTTTTGATCCTGAGGTATGAGTTTGAGACATACATTGGAGGATGTTTCCAGCTGACCTGCCTACAAATGGAGTATTTGGGGAATTAACACTAGTTAGAGCACTTTTGTAGAGTGTTGGCTATAGAATCAGATGAGCATGAAGTTTGTTAATGAACTGAGCCAGCTCGCATTTGGTCAAAGCTCCTCTTTGACCTTTTGAGGGTTAGTAGAGAATGGAAAATAACTTCCTGGATTAATGTCAGTCATGGCTTCTTCTTCATATTGGGAAAAAAACTCCACAGAAAGTCATTTCTACTGTACAGCAGTGTTTCACATTCAGAATGGTTTGCTGGCTGTAAAGAGTACATTTTTTGAGCAGAAAGAGTGTCATGATTTCTTAGAGCCATGCTTCTAGTGCTAAATCCATTATATAATTCAGTAAAATATCTTAAGCAAGCCATTCAAAGTTTTTTCTTAAATTCAATCAGTCATGCTTCTTTTTTTTTATCAGCCAGATTTCTGGCTGGACTTATGCCACTTTCTGATACTTAAAAACACCCATCAAGGTGCCTGCTGACCAGCAGAGAGGCCAAAATAACCTACCATCATCAGCAACTGTAACTTCTGGCCCTGTCTTTGCAGTATGCACATGGTAAAGCATTAACTGCTGTTTGGTAGCATCTAGTTAAGAGATACGGTGATTTTCAACTGAGCATTCCAGTACCGTTGGCTTCATGGACAATACTCTTATTTAGGTAGCCTGAGAAAGAATTGTGTCAGTTATTCCCCCTAAATCAATGGATCAGGAGGGGCACAGAGCAACATATCAATGATTCGGCTTCATTTTAGCCTACTTTTCATCAGCTTTTCTGAGAATTTCCAAGGAGTTTTATTCATAAGAAAACTCTATAATCAGAATTCACAAAAAAAAAAGGTTTAATTCTGAAATAATTTGCTTAAATTCTCAGAGATTTTTCAGAAATCTTGTTCTTTCCCCACCAGGTGTCCAAACTAATGCTGTACGTGGCAGTACACCAGGTCTCAATGTGGCTAAGAAATCAGGAGACTTAGTTTTCATTCTTAAATGCATTATGGTCTTCTGAGTGTCACCCTGTCCTGCTACACATAGCAGTACACACTGTTTAAGCTTCTTACTTAAAATATACAAGAGCAGGCAAAACCTGATGTATTAGACCCCAGGGAAATACTACAGTTTCTCTCTGTGATTTTATATGTGAGAGTAGAATCTCCATCTGTCTCCAAACCTGGTTTTCCCACATGCTGTACCGATATCCATACTATGCAAGCTAGCGACAAGTTGATCACCCCTGTAGGTCAGCATACACACACATATGCACCCATTGGCTCTGCAATTGCTGATCTTCTGCAAGCCCATAACTACCTCATTCATTCTATTCCCTTACAGTTTTCTGGGAAAATCTGTGTCAGCAAGTGCTTTTTTTTTTTTTTTTTTAATTTGTTTAAATTAAACTCTTTTAAATCACTTGTGAAGCATCCAGGGCTGACTTGTGTTCTTTCAATCCACAATAGAAATAAATAAATCCAATTTATTTCTAGAAAAAATAGTCTTGGGAAATGTAGGGTGAAGGAATAGCTTCAGCCAGTATTTATTGCATAGTAGTGCTACTTGCATGCAGTACTTTCCAGGCATATAAGCTTCACTAATTTTTAGAAATGCAAATATTTACAGTATTTCTTGCAGTACTTTGACTCTTTGTTGTATTTTCCATTACATCTCTCAAAAACTTTTGTGTATTTTCCATCATAAATTTGAAAGAGAGCATATTTAACATCAAAACATAAGCAGCAAATTCAGTTCTGTATACTGTAACATTCAGCATCATGGAGCAGTTATTTCTCCTGGCCTATCTAATACAGTATGCAAACATAGTAGGATTTTAATAAAGAGTTTAAATCTCCAATGAACTGACCTCTCTTCTGTTTATACAACTGGCTTATGCCAATGGCAGAGTGTTATAGAAAGATGTATTTATCTCTGTGGTTTGCAAAACATTCCTGTTTCAGGAGACTGGAACTTTTTAAACTTAAACATCATTGCTCCATGCAGGTCTTGAAAATACCATTGCTGAATAACTGAGGAAATTTCTCATTCGTATTATTTCTCTGTCAGTGCTGTCTCTATTTCAACCAATATGTGATAATGTTAACACTACAAATAGAAGGTCTGCAATAGTCTGTTATATTTTATGTTTAACATGTTGTGGTACTTACAGATACTCAAAATGAGGCAAAGTTTATATAGAAAGGCACCCTTTTTGTTAGGCCAGCTGATACAGCTGCAATAAAATAGATAAACTTGCAGATACACAAACTCTATTTTATACCTGATCTAAGAGACACAAATAACATGCTATAAAGTTGAAAATCAACTGTTCTGAATTTAAGTTAATTATATTAACTATATTAATAAATTAGAATGTTTGAGAATAAAAGGTAATTAGGATCTGGCTAAAATAGAGAGCAGGTTTTTATCCAGGAGAGATGTGATAATGTCATTATCGCTGTGGGACAAAGAGAAGCTTAGCTGTGACTAAAAGCTAGATCTGTGGAGGTGGCTGGGAGGTGATTCAAAGGCTCCTATAGCAAAAGAGAAATGTGATATTCCCATGTCAGTGTCTTTCTACACTATAGAAATACTATGTTTTGTGATCCTGAAAAGAATATGTGCAATACATAAAATGTCTATTCTTGTGTGTTACACAGTAAAACTTCTACAGACAGAGGTGATTAGATTGTAATGGCTTCCTGTTGTTTTTTGTATTCCCAGGGACCTCCAGGAACTTGATGACAGCACCCAGTTGCCTTTACTCTGTCACTTCTCTGAGACAGCTGAAGGCCTTACCACCATCAGAGCATTCAGGTTCATAAAACAAATTATTAGAGAGAGGCTTGGGTTCTGCTCTGGCCTGTGCAGCTTGTTGGACCATGTCTGAGGGCAAAGTATTGGATTTGGTAGACTTTAATTAAGCTATCTCAAAATAGGGAAGAAATTTTGTTTTCTGTTGCTTTGCCACATCTCTAAACGCTTGTGCATATTTTCAGTAACACACTAATTTTTCTGTATTGGTTTTCCACTGAATTAAATATGATGACGTTTTTAGGACACAGTATTTAAACTTTTAGGTGCGTAGTTTAGCCATGCCTTACTTGGACAGCAGGGACCTCTTCTTTGCCAGGCAGGCACAGGCATCACTCCTTCACACCCCTCTGCTATATCCTACAAGCTGTGCTACCCAAGTGACCCCGAATCATTTCTGTATTTAACCCACTCCTCAGACAGGGAAACATCATTATAGTACTCTCCAACTGAAAGTCAGTATGCAACTAGAGGGACTTTACAAGAAAACTATGGCAGAACAGAACTTGTTCTTAATATTGTAAAACCTAGCCTTGTCAATCAAAACTGAAAAATAAATTCCAGAAGATTCAGAGAATTTTTCCAGCTTTCCATGCACATATTTTTTTTCTCTACTTACTACATGAAATATAAGCCAAATTCTCCTTGTATGTTCACTGCATTATAGCTGGCATGACTCTGTCAAAGCGCCAGCTTGATGTTGTCCCCCAGTAAGCATAACTTGCACTCATTCTGTACACTGTAGAATTTCAAACTGGTGTGGATTACACTGCACTGCTATTTACACATGTATGTCATCAGCTTACGACTGCTTCATCACTTCAAGCTAGCTTTAGGACCCAGGCTATTAGTTCAGAGTGCTGCGGTAAGGACTGTGGCAGGAAAAGCAAAAATGTTGCTGTGTTGAAGAGATGTGAGCCAGCGGTCAACAAGAAATGTTGTAACAAGCTTTATCAATCAGAATGATATATTGAAACAGTAAGTCGTAATTAAGACCCGATGTTGATGTATGCTGGGTGTTTCTTGAGAGGTTCAGAGTGGCCTTTCATCACGTTATGTCCTGAGAAAGATGAAGGAGATTAGCACTTCCTGGGAGTTGTTCAGCTCTCCTTTACCTCACAAAATGGCAATGTGGGCTTGGAGGGCAGAGAGCAAAAGGCAACCCTAGGGAAGGACTAGGCATCGTAACCATCACTTGAGTTGTCCAGGATCTCTGGTGCTAATCAAAGCCATTTCATTTCCCTGTCAGTGCTCCACTGTCAACCAAACCTGAAGTCTCCAGCATTTTTTGTCAGCAAGCTCATATTTACTAATAGTCCTGTTAGTCATTCTCTGCAGTTAGAGTTCAGTATGTTCCAGGATAAAACAGAGCAGCCCCTCATGTAACTTACCACAAAGTAGCACAGTTGGATCAGAAAGCAATTTCAGTGACCTTTGCTGTTTGTCATCTGACAGGATAAAAGTCTAAAGCTGCCCAGAAGATGAGCTGGACGTGGATGAAAAGATACAGATCGAGCATGTCAGATTTTCCATTAGGAAAACAGGAGTTTTGCTGCCAGAAAGGCAGATGAGCAGAATATTCAGTGCATCTTTGCTCCTCCCACGTCATTACTCTTACCAGTTGTTGTTTTGGGGAGGTTGTTTGCCATGTTTACAAGCTGTGCAGAGGGAAATAAAGTATCAGTGGGAAAAGGCAAAAAAAAAAAAAAAAAAAGGGGTTCGGGAAAAAGGGGGGTAACGGGGGTT